GTTGGAACCATAGGGCCACAGGGGAACTTGGAGCTGTACGTGGCGCATACTCCTGTCTAGACCACTGCCACCATCTCAGGGCCCTGCTCCAGCTACTTCTAGAGTGAGGAGTGGAGGGGCCTGTGTTCTGGAGCGAGGGCATCCTGAAGGCTGGCAGACCTGCCATCCAGTCCCCAGAGCCAGGTGCCTGGAGGATTGTCAAAGAAGTAGAGCCTCCACCCCAGCCTCAGAGGGGTTCCGGTCTTATCAGGGAAATAGAGAAAGTTAGCGGGAGTGTCTGATACCAGGTGGAGCGGCATGGTTCAGGGAGGGCGGCCATTGTTCACACTGGGTCTTTTGAGGGGCAGGATTTGAAAGAGAAAATGATTTATTTGATCACTTGAGCTCAGGAATAGCTCTGGCCAGGAGGGCAGAGGGGTGATGCTGGGCCTCCATGTCCTGTGTACTGCTGTATCCAGTGAGCACCCCGCTCCTGTGTCTGTGTCCTTCCTGCAGGGCCCTGAGCACCCCAACCCTGGGAAGCCATTCACCGCCAGAGGGTTTCCCCGCCAGTGCTACCTTCCAGACAATGCCCAGGGCCGCAAGGTAAAGGCCCCACGGCCACCCTGGGGGAGGGCTCCTCCCAACACACACACTGGCAGGCCTGTGCCCAACTGCTGGTTCCGGAATGGGAGAGAGCAGGGAGGCCTAGATTCGGTGAGGAGGAACAGAAAGGAGCTCATCCAAGATGGACCTGGAAATAGGGAATAATCCAGATGTTTAGGGGCTGAGTAGGTGGCAGCACTGTCTTAGGTGGGAGGGTCGGCTATTGGGTGGGGTCAAGACGAGTCATGGAGGTGCACAGTGTGAGGTCCTGTTGGACCGTCGGAGCAGATGGGGTTTCATACTCTAGGACTATGGATGACATTACTCAGGTGGCAGAGGAATGGGGAGAAGAAAGGGCCCAGCTCTCAGGGACCCAGCCAGTGGTTAATGGTCCATGTTGAATCCACAACCCACAGTCGACATTGGTGGACGGTTGGTGCTGCTGTCCTCATCCTTACCACTGGAGCAAATTAGTCAGGGATGGTAGTGGATGCCCCACCCTGTCACCTGGCCACCCTGCCCCAGGGTGAAAAATCTTGTAAAGGGACAGGCCAGTGCTGCTTCACCCTTCCTCCCTCCTTCACTTCTTCTTTCTCTTCCTTTTCCTCCGGGGGCAGGTCCTAGAGCTGCTGAAGGTGGCCTGGAAAAGGCGACTTATCTTCACAGTGGGTACGTCCAGTACCACAGGCGAGACTGATACGGTAGTGTGGAATGAGATCCACCATAAGACCGAGATGGACCGCAACGTGACAGGCCATGGCTACCCTGACCCCAACTACCTGCAGAATGTGCTGGCTGAGCTGGCCGCTCAGGGGGTGACTGAGGACTGCCTGGAGCAGCAGTGACCCGCCAGCCTGGCCGCCAGCTGCCCCACCCCCGCTGCCAGCTCGGCTGCCCCTGGGATGGACAGCCAGGAGGGTGCCTTTCCTCAGAGGCTGAAATGTTTGTTGGGGGTATGGGCATTTTCCACCGCAGCTGGGGCTTCTCCTGTTTGCCTTTCCTCCTTCCTCTTCCCCTCCAGGCCTGGATCTGCATGGGAATTGGGCAAGCCTGGGGAGTTGTACTTGTGGGAGCTTACGATGCAGCTACCTCAGTGCTGGGGGCCTGGCATAGGGTGAGGAGAGACTGCCCCACCCCCAGCCAGGGCAGGCATGGGTCTGGGTCAGCTTCTCATACCTCAGATGTTCTGTTTGCAATAAATGCCCAATAGCCAAAGTCAGCAGGCCCTGGTGTGTTCTGTCAGTGGAGAGGTTGTGTGTGTGATGTATGAAAGCCAGCACACATGTGTCCTACTGTATCAGGAAGGGACCTTATGGGCTGTCCATTCAACTCCCATTTCCTGAATGAAGACTGAGGCTACCCCTGGCCAGGTAGCTCAGTTGGTTAGAGCATTGTCCTGATACACCAAGGTTGTGGGTTCAATCCCCAGTCAGGGCACCTACAAGAATCAACCAATGAATGCATAAATAAGTAGAATAACAAATTGACCTATCTCTTCCCCCTTTCTCTCAAATCAATTTAAAATATTTAAAAAATGAAAACAGAACAAAAATAAAAAACAGGCTGCAATAAGGGCCAGAGAGCCCATGGCACTGGCCTGTGCCGCCTCCCCAGTCCCTGAACCCAGTTCTTGTAGTGTGAAGTCCAGCAACTCAGCATGCACCCTCCCATTACTGCCTGTTTCTGGGAACACTGCTCACAGGAGGCGCGTGCTGCTGCTGCCTCTGTTTTACACGTGGGGAAATTGAGGTTCCAGGGTGTAGTGACTGGCCCAAGGTCCCAGCTAGTGGTAGACCCAGAGCTAAAGTCTGGGTCGGGAATGGTCTGATAACCATTCTCAAAGTTCTAATTCTTCTACAGCCTCGAGGGAGGATCGAATACTCCTACACTTGCTGTCTGCCGACTGGGGGGAGGGGGCGAGTGCGCGGGGCCTGGGGCTGGAGGGACACACAGGGTTGCATTTTGAGTGGGTCAGGGGCACTTGCCTTTGCAGGTCCCTTTCTCCATAAGACAAGAAGTTAAATTGTGTTTTACAGTGTGATGGTACAAAGACGAACATCTGTTAGAGCATTTTCTCCCATCTAGAAGTTCATTTTTTTTCCTTCTGATTTTAAAAGAAATTAAGACTTCTCCTGGGCCCCTTAGAGTATTGCGAGCCCTGTGCGCTGCTCACTGAGGCTCCTGGAGGGGCTCCACCTGGGGAGGTTAGGGGGCCTGGATGGGCCCCAGCCTGTCTGGTTCCAGGATGAGACTTGTTCTGTTGGCCCACAGGGCACGGGAATTGGATGGGCGCCTGAGTGCTGCTGCCCTTTTGACTCCCACCATTAGGGCATAATGAGAATCAGAATGGCAGGAATTGCAAAATCTACCTGATAAGGGTCTAGTATCCAGACTGTATAAGCAATTCAACAGTAAAGAGACGAATACCCAATTTTTTTAAAAAAAGAAAGCCCTGGCTGGTGTGGCTCGGTTGGGTGTCATCCTGCAAACTGAAAGGCTGCGGATTCAATTCTCAGGGCACATGCCTAGGTTGCGGGTTTGATCCCTGGTTGGGGCGCATATGAGAGGCAACCAATTGATGTTTCTCATACTGTTGTTTCTCTCACCCTCTTTTGCCCTCCTTTCCCCTCTCTCTAAAATCAATGCATATCCTCAGATGAGGATTGGAAAAAAAAAAAAAAGCAAAGGGGTTTTCTCCAAAGAGGATACACAGGTGGCTGACACATAAAAAATATTCAACATCATCAGGGAAACACAGATCAAAACCAGAGTGATACCTCTTCAAACCCATGAGAATGGTTTTTATCAATAAATAAAAAGGAAAATAGCAAATGTTGAGGATGTGAAGAAATTGGAGCTCTTATCTGCTGCTGGTGGGGATGTAAAGTGCAGCTGCTTTGGAGAACAGGCAGTTCCTCGAAAAGTGGTTACCATATGACTAAGCAATTCCACTCCTAGGTTCATATCCAAGGACTGAAAATATGTCCACACCAAAACATGAATGTTCATATCATTATTATTCATAACAGCCCAAAAGTGAGAAAAACCCACATATCCATCAGTTGATGTGTGGATAAACAAAATGTGGTCTATCCATACAATGGAACATTACTCAGCTATAAAAATGAAGTACTTCCCTGGCCGGGTGGCTCAGTTGGTTGGAACATCATTCCGTGCACCAAAGTGTGAGTTCAATCCTGGTCAGGGAACATGCCCAGGTGGCGTGTTCCATCCCCGATTGGGGTGCATACAGGAGGCAACCAATGGATGTTTCACTCATCAGTGTTCCTCTCTCTTCCTCTTGAAATCAATGAAATGTGCCCTCAGGTGAGGGGTTTTTAAAAAAACAAACTATCACCTACAATATGGATGAACCTTGAAAACATTCCAAGTGAAAGAAGCCATATATGACAGGCCACATACTATGTGATTCTCTTTATATGAAATGTCTAGACTAGGCAAATCCACAGAGGCAGAAAGATCAGTGGTTCCCACAGGGAGGAGGGACTGGGGAGTGACTGTTCATGGGTACCGTGTTTTCTCCTGGGGTGATGAAAAGGTTCTGGTATTAGTGTTGATTGCACAACCTTGTGAATATGCTAAGAACCAGTGAACTGTGCACTTTTGAAAGATGAGTTTTATGATATGTGAGTTATATTTTAGTAAAATATAAATATATACACACACAGGGTGGGGCAAAAGTATGTTCATAAGGAAAATATACAATAATAATACATGAATAAACTTTCACATACAACTGTAAACCTACTTTTGTCCCACTTGTGTATATAGTGAGAACTAAGGGGAGCAATTGGTGTAAGTGGGGGGCTTGTCAGCTGTCAAGAGCTCTAGAGACCTTTCTCTAAGTTCTTCCTTTGGACAAGGGAACTGAAGAACGAGGGAAGATGTGGCTTTGAGGAGGGAGGGCAGGGCACAAGATGGCAGCAGGGCCAGGTGCACTGTAATGGGGCTGGAGCTCAACAGGTTGTGGGAGTGTCATGATGCGGGTGGAATTGGACAAGTTGGAGCTGTCCCAGGCTTGCTCCTGGGTGGAGATGGAAGACCAGAGGGAGTCTCCTGGCACACAGGGTGCAGGAATCTCAGGCATGTGGCCCTGAGCCCAAGGTTCCAGATATTCTCCTTTCCAGGGCTGGGAGGCTGGGTGGGGTATAAACCGAGATGACAGACCCTGGGCTCCAGCAGCCTCTCCCTCAGCTCGGGGCCTGCCCCACACCAGAGCCCTGCCCAGTCCCCTCCCCGTGGGGGGTTGGGCTGAGGGGAGGAGTTGGGGTGCATTCACATTTTCAGGTCTTTCCAGCCCTTGGCCAGCCTGGCAGCCAGACTAACCAGCTCCTCCAGGCCCCAGGTTGGGGGAGGGGTGCAACGGGGCGGGGGGGGCGGGGGGGGGCGGTGGTCAGCCGGACCAGCCCCAGGCTGTGGATGTCGTAGAAGGCAGCCATGATGGGGCTCTCCCAGAGGCAGCCTGGCCCATGGCTGCTGTTCCTCTTGGTGGCGGTGGTCTGGCCCCAACCCTGCATGAACCTGGGTGAGTGGGGGTCCAGGGACTGGAGACCCCTGGCCAGGGCACCTGCTGGAGTGATTGGACGCTGGGAGCCCACGTCCCGTCGTTTGGAGAGGCAGCCCCAGGACCCTCACGCCTCTCTCCCTGGCCACAGAGCTGATCCCCTACACGCCGCAGATAGCAGCCTGGGACCTGGAAGGGAAGGTGACGGCCAGCACATTTTCCTTGGAGCAGCCGCGCTGTGTGCTGGACAGTCATGCCAGGGCTGCCAACACTGTCTGGCTGGTGGTGGCCTTCAGCAACGGTGTGTCACAGTGCAGGTGTGGGGCCTGGGGTGAGGGGAGGGGCTGAGGGGAGCTGCAGGGCCTGGGGAGCTCCACGCTGTGACCTGCCACTGCTGGGCGTGGATTAGGAGTTGGGCTTTATGGAGAGGGTGCGCTGAGAGGGTGACGAAGGCTACTTTGTGTCGTAGGGGCCCTCTGGGTGCTGAGGCATGGAGGGCCAGGGGTGGAGGCCTCGGACCCAGACGGGGATCGTGGCAAGGGAGACCTGGCTTCACCTGCCCGCCAGCCCCATCTGTCTGTCCCTTCCTCCTGCAGCCTCCAGGGACTTCCAGAACCCAAAGACGCTGGCTGAGATCCCAGCCTCCCCACAGCTGCTGACGACTGACGGCCACTACATGACGCTGCCCTTGTCCCTGGACCAGCTCCCCTGCGAGGATCCCGTGGGTGGCAGCAGCATCTCGGTGCTGCGGGTGGGCAATGACCCTGACTGCCTGGCTGACCTCCGCCAGCCACCCTACTGTAATGCCCCCCTCCCCGGCCCTGGACCTTACAGGTGGGTCCCTCTGCCTGGAGCCTGGGACAGGTGGGTTGCCCTCCCTAGCCTTTCCCCAAGCCCCATCCTGGCTGCGGGAGAAGCAGGCCTTTCCCATTTGTAGCCTTGGCTTCTTCCTCGGCAGTGGGGGCGGGGTTGGGGGTGAGGGGAGCAACATTCATCACAGCTGGGGGATAGGCACCAATTCGGCCTTTCCAGTGGGCCCAGGAGGAAAAGGTGGCGCCACTGAGCTGGTGGGGGTGGGGTGGGTCTGCAGGGCTGCAGTCCAGGGCCTACTCTCTCTCCCACAGGTAGATCCGCGGAAACTAAGCCCAGGGCTGAGTTCAGCCCCCGTGGGTGGGTATGAGGTGGGGAAGCAGGAGAGAGAGCCATCATGCACTTTTACAGGCAAGGGAACTGAAGCACAAAAGCTCCAAGTGACTTGTCGATGTCAGGGAAAGCCGGGCTGAGAAAGCAGGCGTCCAGACCAGGGCTGCCCAGGCCACAGGATGAGGCTGGGTGTCCTCAGGGAGACCAAGTGCAGCTGGGAGAACCAGCAGGGTGCAGGGAAGGTGGTGCGGTGCGGGCTGGGCCAGCACCTCCCTCCACTGCCTCTCCCTGCCCTCTCACCCAGCCCTGCCAGGTCCACCTCCCCACGGCCCCAGGCCCGCTCCCTGGCTTGGCCGCCATCCCTAGCAGCCACCAGAGCCAGCTTCCCTCAGTGCCAGGCTGCCTGAGTCTCTTGATGCTCAGAAACCTTCCAGAGCTCCCCAGCCCCGACAAAGATGCAGCCTCAGCTCCTCTGCATGGCCTTCAGTGCCCTCAGTGCCAGTCTGTCCGCTCCCTGTGACCTGGGGCTCCGAGTGTGCCCTGAATACACCCCGCTCACCCTAGGCTTTTACCTGGGGTGCTCACCTCTACTGGGGGGCTTCCATGGCTTCAGACTCCACAGGGCCAGTAGTTCTCCCCTGGGAGGCGCAGAGCCCCAGCCCGTATACCCTGCTGAGCCGACACTCACAGCTTGGCCCAGAAGAGCTGCCTGGAGTCTGGCTGCAGTGGGCGCCCTGCCTGGGGCAGTTGGGCTGAGCCTCATCCCTCCTCCCCTCCCCAGGGTGAAGTTCCTCCTGCTGGACACCAGGGGCTCCGCCCAGGCCGAGACCAGGTGGTCCGAGCCCATCACCCTCCACCAAGGTAGCGATGGGGCGGGGGCTTTCTGGCTTCAGTCTTACCCTGGGCAAAATGGTCATACTCAGCTGCCCCTCCCCCCGTTGCCATGGCATCGGGGCCTGGTGGCTGACCCTCCCTACAGAATCTTGTGCTGAGGGGTAGGACATGCGGCAGACGCGCTGGCTCTGTCCATCTCCAAACGTTTGCCAACTCTTGGGTGTCTAGGCCACGGCCCAGTCACTGGCAGAAACAGCCTCCGCTCCTATGGGCCCAGCACTGCAGGAAGGAGAGGTGGGGCCAGGGCAAGAAGGAGGCCAGGGTCAGTCAGGGCCGCAGGGTCTGGGAGGCTTCCCTCAGCAGGGCCCCAAGGAGCCAGCATGAGTCACCAGGCTGAAGAAACTGCATGTGTGAAGGCCGGAATGTCCGGTGTGGGGGACACCTGGGAGACGGGCAGCAGAAGCTGGGGACGAGGGTGGGGGCTTGTTGTCTGAGGGCCTTGTATGCCCAGCTCCAGGGAGCAGGGCAGGCACATGGTCCATCCCAAGGTCCTCCGCCGCTCAGCCTGCTATGGGTGGGTGCCCTGGTGGGAACAGCCTAGACGGTGAGACACGGGTGGAGGCTGGAGCGATGGGTGGTGCAGGCTACAGGGCACAGGTAACCTTCTGAGACGGGCGAGCTCAGGAGGCTGTGAACCAGGGACAGCCAGGCCTTGGGTATGAGCATGGGTGGAGGGTGACTGCCCTGGGGCCCTGGGGCAGCATCTGAGCAGCCACTGTGTGTGCAGGGAAGTCCCCAGGCTCCATCGACACGTGGCCAGGGCGACGAAGTGGTGACATGATTGTCATCACCTCCGTCCTCTCTTCTCTGGCTGGCCTCCTGCTCCTGGCCTTCCTGGCAGCCTCTACTGTGCGCTTGTGAGTGGTGACAGGCCCAGGGCCCTTTGCCCACCTGGAACCCCTTCCTTCTCCCTGATCCCCGAGCCTGGAAAGCCTCCCTGACCCAGTGGTTTCGAGTGGGGCAGTGTCCCTGGAAGGGCTCTGCAGGGAATTCCCACCCTGAGCGTCTGCCCTGGGAGGTCAGAGGGGAAGTGGTCCAGTAGCTCCTCTGACCACAGGTTCAGGGGAGGGGCCACCTCGCTCTGTTCCTCTCCATCAGTGTGTCCTTTGCTTTGGCCCTTGTCCTCCTGGGCCTCATTTTCTCTCCAATGAGCCCTCTGTCATTTCAGTGAATTGACACCAGAGTATTCAGGGTGGCCACCGGAAGGAGGCAGGCCTCCAGCTTGTTCTAGAAGGGAGGAAGGGGAGATCAGCGGCTGCAGGGGGAGCGGGGCAGGAGTGGGGACAAGGAGCCAGCTCCAGCCAGCAGTGACACAGCTCCTCCTTCTCTCCCTGTCCAGCTCGAGCCTGTGGTGGCCTGAGGAAGCCCCTGAGCAGCTTCGGATTGGCTCCTTCATGGGCAAGCGCTACATGACCCACCACATCCCACCCAGTGAAGCTGCCACCCTGCCGGTGGGCTGTGAGCCTGGCCTGGACCCCCTCCCCAGCCTCAGCCCCTAGCCTGGCCTATGTGCCTGGTGCTGGGCAGTGAGGGGAAGGAAGGGAGAGACAAGGGTGGAGTGCTCCTTCTCAGCCCTTGCACCCACACGCCCCGCCCCCATCACACTTCCCCCTGCCTGAAACCCCACCACTAGCAGCCCTGACTGGCTTTCCCATTTCCCCACTCTCTCCAGGCAACTGAAGTTGCAAGCAGGGGAGTTTGGGTGAGGGCTACGGTCAGGCTGGGCACCACCTCCCTCCCTACCTCTGTTCTGCCTGTCCTGTGAGTGAGGCTGGAGATAATGTGGAAAGGCCACCCTGACTGGAAGTTTCCAGGCCCCAGGTGGAGGCCTACAGGGGCCCTGCAGCGAGCCAACCTGGGACCATCACGGGGTATATGAAGTCTGAGCCTCCTCTGTCTCCGTCCCACCGGCCAGTGGCTGGGGCTGCCGTGAAGTCTTCAGAGATAACTTCACTGTCCCTTCACTGTCAGGAAGGCACAGGCCCTTCCTGAGGGAGGCTAGAAGGTCGGAGCGTAGATGCACATGTTGACCGTCTGGCCACTGGGCCACCGCTTCCACCTCCCTTGCACACACAGAGGGTCCTCGCACTTACCTACTCACTCTCACTCCACAGACATTTGTTAAGTGCCTAGTGCATGCCCTGCACAGTGTTACGCATGTAGCCTCAGGCGGATCTTGGGGCGCTCCCTCACTGCTCTGGACCTCGCTGTATGTCCAGAGGTGACCTGTTACTGTTGGGAGGCTGTCAGGTCCTCAGATTGTCACATATCCGAGGGCTCACATTCCCTCAGACAAGCACCCCAATGGGCTCTCTGGAGTCCGCGATCACCCACCCCAGTCACTGGAGGACAGGTTTCAGTTCCCCAGCGTCCGTCTGCCTGTAAGGCTGGTGTTACTCTCTGTGGCCACACGAGGGCGACCAGTGCACCGCAGCTGCCGCAGGACAGTCCCGCATGCGCACTCCTATTCATGGACCGGTAGGGCACTGTTTCGCGGCGGGATCGCGCCAGGCGACCTGATGTCAAAGAGCTGGCACCACTCAGCAGGGTCTCTGGAGGTCAAGGCTCCAGGCTCCACTTGGATCACGCGAGAGCCATACGCAGTCACGCTCCCGCTTGTCCAATCCGCAGAGTCCCATCGTTTTGTAGCTGGAGAAACAGGCTCAGTGACTTTCCCCCCCCCGCTGTGCTCTGTCCACTGCTACCCCACCCGGTGTCCCCTGTCCTCTCTAGCCTGACTGCGGTGGCCTGCGGGCTGGGGTACACCTTTTGAGGTGAATAAATGCTGTCTGGCTTTTCCATCTGAGTAGTTCCTGTGCTGGTTTCAGAAGAGGAGCATTTACACAGGGGGCCCAGCCTGGCCTTGCTCTGTCCAGCCCTGCCCTCCACGAGGTCCAGGGATGCCTTGAGCCTATCCCCTTGATTGCTAGTCCTAATTGTACTTTGGGGGTGCCCTCATCTCCTATCGGGCCCCAGGGAAACCCACCCATGTATTGCAGGGCCAGGAAGCCAGCTACTAAGCAGTTTCTGGGGATTTAGTAGTGCTCCATTCCAGGCAAACACTTCAGGGCAGACTTTGCTTTCAAAACCCTTGCACACCTGGCTCCTGGCAGTCTTTCTCTTATCCTGCCTGCACCTCCACCAGCCGCAAGACCCCCTCCAGGTACAGACGGAGGCAGAGTCAAATGCAACCAGGAGGTCAGGCCTGGTGTCCGGGTAACATCTGGTGATGGAGCCAGCCCCTTTGGGCAGCCACCTTTGAAATTCTAATGCTTTGGAGCCCAGGTCCCTCTTGACCTCTTGGAATTGGAGGAAGATTAAAACTGCCTCGACCTCCACCTCACCAGCTACCCCCAGCAGAGTCTGTCTCACACTGTCTCTTTCAGGCCTGGTTCCAACACCGGATGACAAGGCCCTCAAGGTCCGGGATGCCCAGCTTGGGGCCTGCTCGGGAGGGTGCTTTGGGGAGGGAGAGGGGTTGCTGGCGTTTGCTGAGTGAAGACATGAATGAACCCCACAGGGCAGGCGATCAGCCAGGAGCAGAAATCGCTCCAGACTCTTCCATGTCCCAGGGCCTTCTCATGGCTTGTTCTTAGTGCCAGGATCTGTGCGGATCCCAGGCACAGCCCCAATGACATGCCGTCCATGCCTGTGGCCTGCCCCTCGTTTCTGAACAGACCCCCACCCAGCCTTCTGAGGAGCTGCTCTCACCGCATCTGGCCTCCCAGGGCATGACCATAGAGACAGACATTACAACGTATGGGTGAGGACCGTGAAGGCATGAAGGGGCAGAAGAACACAGGGGAAGCAGCAGACCCCACCTGGGGGTCAAGGGGACTTCCTAGTGGTGATTTTTGGGTTGAGTCTTGAGAGACAAGTGGAAGTTAGTTAAGTAGAGAGGAAAGCGGGGAGGAAAGAGACCATCTTGCCCTGCGGTGGCTCAGATGGTGCCTGGGGTGGGTGGATGGGGGCGGCAGGGACTGGGGACTGAGCGGCCAATGAAAGAGGCTGCCCTGGTCTTCCAAGCAGACGAAACGAACCCTGAACCAAGGCAGGCACAGGGGGTTGGAGAGGAAGAGGTGAATTCCAGAAATATTCAGGAGGTGGCAGGAGGAACCGGGGGCTTCTTAGACGTGGGAGGTGAGGAAGAAGGAGAAGGCTCTGTCTGGGTTTTTGACATGAGAATGGGTGTGAATACAAAGCAGAGGCCCTTATGTTCTGAGAATTGTTATATCACCACAGCTCGCTTCAGCAGATCCCCAGAAAAGGGAGTACTGGGAACCTCATCTCAGCAGCTGGGTGCATCCACAAGCGCATCAACAAATTGTTAACATTTTACAGCAATGGAAGCCTGCCCTGGTCAGCAGGAGACCACCTTGAGAGCCTGCATGACTGTGGGCCTTCTGCCCCAGGACTGAGCTGGTAAGCACGCCAGAGCGTCACTGAGTCCACAAGGCCGGGAGCAGCGGGGCTGGTCATCCCCCAGCGCAAGCGGTCATGCCCTGGGCAGCTGCACCAGGGCATCCTGCCCCGAGTCATGGTTGAGAGGGTCAGCTCTTCGTGGGCCAGCTCATGACAGCCCTGAGCAGAGCACATAGTGACCGCTATGTTGTGGAGAATCTTTTATTAAACGGAGTTTTGGAGACTCTTTTATTAAATGACATTTAAAATTTTCCCTAGGGCTGTATTTGGGGAAGTGTCTCCAAATCCATTGGCCCGTAACATAATGACTCAGTGATTAAAAAAATGTTCATTGTTAAAGAGGAAAAAAACCCCCAGCAATGATTGTGGGGGTGATGACTGGCAGATGACTCATCAGGCCTAAAATCAAAGGAATCAGATGACAGCAGGTGGAAACCAGGCAGCCTGGTCTCTTGCTGGGATGTCAGCAGTCGCCTGTTGCTGGTCTCCCCGCAGCCGTGCTCCTGCTCCCCACCTCCATCCTCCTCCCAGCATCCAGAGGGACCAGACTATGAACCCAGCGGTGCTACACCATTGCTCACAGCTCTCAGAGACTTCCTACTGTAAGAACAGAATCTGGATTCAGCATTTCAGTCATGGGGTCCCGTGATTCATCCCTCCACCCCTGTATCCCAGCCGCGCAGACCACAGGGCCTTTTTACTTGCTTTTCTCTCCATGTAGAACACCCTTCCACTTCGCTCCCCTTCCTCTAGCTCATTCCCTTCTTTAGGGAAGCCCTTCCTGATCTGTATTCTTTTCCTTCTCTGCACATTTTCCATTTTGCAGTTAGACCTTCAGAACAGTGGGCTTTTGCATCTTCCCCACTAAACTGTGAACTTCAGGAGGACAGAAACTGACCACGTCTGGTTTGCTCACCAGGATGCGCTCCCAGAGCTAGCACAGCGCCTGGCTTCCAGGAGGTGCTTAATAAATAATTGTTGACTGAATGCTTTATAAAAGGCACTTTGCATTTTTAAAAATCAGCTTTATGGAGATATAATTCAATATACCTATTTAAAGTGTACAGTTTACAATTTTTATATTCACAGAGTTGTATCACTACCAACCTTAGAACAATTGAAACCCTGTACCCATTAAATGGTCACTCCCCGTTCCTCTCTAACCTCCTTTAGTCCATGGTAACCCCTGCCTACTTTCTGGACATTTCACAGAAATGGAATCATACACACTATATGTGATCCTTTGTGACTGGCTTGGTTCACTGAGCACAATTTGGGGGTCGCGGGGGAGGAAACAGGAGCCCTGGCATTGCCTGTCGTGGGCTCTGTCACTCACTGTTCCTCTCACTTGGCCGAATCATTTCTTACTGGGTAGAACTGCAATCTAGTGTCCAGTCTCTGGGAAAAATAGGGTCTCCTTCACCCAGGACACACGGGACATCTATCAAGGGGGGCTCAGAGGCCCAAGCCTCCTCCCTCTCTGCCACCATCCTCTGTATTCTCAGCTGCAAAGAGCAAGAACCAACCTTGGAGAGTTGGGCGGAAAAGGAATATTCTGGAGAAGATCAGGGAGCTCCTGGAGGCTCTGAGAGGAAGGACTGGGGGCCTCCCCAGCAATCCCAGTGCAAAAGAACACTGCATTTCCTGTTCCCACCATGGGAATTTCTGGTTCTGTCACCTCTGGGAGCTGGGCACGGTGGCCGCGGCCCTGGCCACAGAGAACTGGCCACGGCACCCGCTTCCTTGTCTGGTGAAGGTGCATGACTGCTGGGCACCCACCCTGGCGGCTGCAGTGAGAGATGGGCTGCACGCGAGGGTGCTCAGGTGCGGATGAAGGGCTGAGTCCACCTGGAGAAGGGACGCCCTTTTGTGATTCTCACAAAGATATCATCCAGCTAGCCCTGGCTCCGGGGACATGTGCAGCAGGACAGCACTGTCCCACACATAAGGAGGGAGTGGCAGGACTGAGCAGTCAGAAAGAATGGCAACAGTCTCCCATGCCTGGGAGCATGGAGAGCTTACGCTGGTCGGCAGGTTCCACTAGAATGAAAGAATTTCATTAAATGCTGGGTGTTCTTCAGAGTTTTGCTGGGGTGTGTGACTGTCTGCCTCCTAGGAAGTCCCCGGTTCCAGTGTGGGAGAGAGGGAGGGCTTCTGGAAAGATCAGCCCTTGGGCACGTCACACCTCACCCTCGAGCCTCAGCGTTCACATCTGCACAGTGGGGGCAGTAATTGTTGGCACCCATGGCTGCTAGGAGTGGCCATGGGCGGAGGAGGTTGAAGGTTTGACATGCAGATGCTCAATTAATGAGATTTTATGTTTTCCTTTGAGATATGTTTTATTATTTAAGAGGAGGACAAAGCTGTCACTTTGACCATTGGTTGCTGCCACCTCAGGGCTTCCCATCCCCTCCCCAGCATGGTGACATTAGGACCCCCTGCAGAACTACTAGGGAGCTGGGGCATAGAAAGACCTATCCAGCCACTGCCCAGCCCGCTGCCTCCTTGGGCTCCCAGACCCCCTCCGACTCCGCTGGACCTGTGGCAGAGGGTGGGGCAGTTTCTGCCTTCTCAGGAGGGACCAGAGTGAAACTGGAGCAGAGGGACACGGCCACACCTCACTGCTCACTGTGCAGCCTGCCCAGTCCACCCGGCTCCCCAGAGGTGGGGGAGAGTGAAGAATGGGGTGAGTCAGGGGGAGGGGCAATTGCTGGGCACAAACTACTGGGCAGGAAAACAGTCCTAGAGACCTGGCCCAGAGATCCCACATGCCATGCAGAAGCTCATATCCAGTCCCTGTGCTCAGAAAGTGCCCCACTTACCAGGGATGCTCACCCACTGTAATAGACCAAATCTTGTTCCTCAAAATTCATATGTTGAAGTCATCATCCCCAGTGCCTCAGAATGTGACCTTGAGAGGGGCCTTTACAGAGAGAAATAAGACCTTTAGAGTGGGCCCATCCAATGACCCAATCTCTTATGTCTCAGGACACAGTGACACAGGGGTGCATGTGCAGAGGTCATGTGAAGAGGTGGCAAGAGGACAGTTGTCTAGAAGCCAAGGAGGGAGGCCTCAGGAGAAAACGAGCCTGCCAACACCTTGAACGTAGACTTCCAGACTCCAGAACTATGAGAAGTAAATTTCTGTAGTGTAAGCCACCAGGTCTGTGGCATTTTGCTATGTCAGTTCAATCAGGCCAATCCACCCGCCATTACAGTGTTATGGGCATGAGTATTAACGGGGCTGGAGTGCACAGAGCAGGCGGTTGGTGATGAGACAACATTTCACTGAGCGCCCACAGGCAAGGAGAGAGTAGGGGCTTTGCAGGCAGTAGGAGCAGCTTG